GGTGTGTCTGCGCTGGGGGGCAGGACACGGGGCCACCTCCGCCCCCCGCCCAGGACCTTTTAACTCCTTCAGCCCCTCCCCTTCCCAGCGCGGGGTTGAAAAATAACATTCAATAACCCCCCTCACCACCTGTTGATGTCCCACCCCCGCCCCAGTAGAAAAATGGTCTGGCCCAGGTACCCCCCGAGGAGTAAACCAAGTGCCTTGAGAGAATGAGGAGGGGGTGCGATTGGTTATTCCGCACCCCTCATAAAGGCAATGGGTCGGCCCAGGTGCAGTGCACACCTGAGGCGGGAAGCGAGAGACCAAACGGACTTAAATAATGGGGGGAAATGCTTGTGTATCATAGACTTTATTCACTCCTCTCCCCCCCCACGTATCCATATGGACTCGCTCAGGTGCCCAGCCTGGAGCCGGGGTGGGAGAAACCAAAGAAAGTTTGAGAAGGGGGAGGAGCCTGGTTTCAAACTCCAATGGGACATTCCACACATCTCCCCCACCTCGCGTTTTGAACATGGGCTCGCCCGGGTGCGCGCCTTGGAGCCCAGGTGGGAGAAACCAAAGCACCTGTTGCTCAAGGCTCTTCCCCTCTAGTTAGGAAAATGGACTGGGCCAGGTACGCGGTTTGGAGGCGGGGTGGGAGAAACCAAAGTGACTTTTCAGGGGGAGAGGGTAGCCTCCGCCCCTTTGTTCGGAAATGGTTTGGGCCAGGGCAGATTGTGGGGGGGCTGGGGGGCGGTAGATCAGACTTTGCCCTGGAGAGGGGGATGAGTCATGGTTTCGGGCGAGGGCGAGTTTCTTCTTTTGTGCCTTAGAAAGTAGAAGGAAGTGAGACAAAAGTTTTATCAACTTTTCTTCTTTGGAGAAGAGAGAAGTTTGGGAAACTTTCCTCCACCCTAGAAAACAATTACAAAGTTTAGGAAACCGTATCTCGAAAAAACAGTTTTGTATTACACACACACTAAGTGTGTGCATCTGTAAGTACGTGTATGGATGTGTGCAGCATTATGGATGTGTACATATGATATGTATATGGATCTGTGTATGCATATCTATGTGTATACACGTGTGTATATTGGTGTGTGTAAACGTGTGTATGCATGCATATGGGGGTGTATGTATATGAGTGGAGGTGTATATGTTTGCATGTATACAGTATAAATTGTATGTATTGGGGGGGTGTACATATGCATGTATATGAATGTGTGTATGTGCACAGATGTGTATATTGGGGTGCAGAGACGACTGCAGCAGGGCCCAGGACAAATCAGCCTGTGTGGGGCCCAGACACAGCGGTGGTGGTGCGGGAGGTGGCAGCGAGAAGCCGGATGGGAAGCTAGCTTGGCTCCATGGGGTCCCCCAAAGCGCAGAACTCGAGGCGGTCGCCCTAATTCGCACCCCCTAGGGAGGTCCCTGTTGGGGTTCATGTGTGTGTACATATACAGGTACGTGAATGTATGTGTGTATATGTATGCATGTATGTGAATGTGCATATATGTGCATAGGTATGTATATCGGGAGGTGTACATATATACGCATATATGTGAATGTGTATATGCAGTGTATGCATAGATCTGTATATTGGGGGGTGTATGTATGCATGTATATGAACGTGTGTATATGAATATCAGTATGTGTGCCTGTGTGAGTGCGTGTCTGTGTGCATGTACATGAGTGTATATATATGTGTGTGTGTGTGTGTGTATATATATGTGTGTGTGTGTGTGTGTGTATATATATATATATATATATATATATATATATATATATGCATAGGTATGTATACAGATGTGTGTGTATTTTATATGATGTACACAAATATGAAGCTCTGAGGGGGTTTTCTCCCCTAGGAAACGAGAGTTTTGAAAACTTTCTCCCCACTTGAACCAAAGTTTTAAGGAACCTTTTTTCCCCATTTCCAAAACAAAACAAAGCTCCCTCAGAAAAAAAAAAAAGAGCTTTTCCTTCCTCCATAAAGAACAAAGTGCTCGGAAGGGAGCCCGCACTGCCTCCCCTCTTACTGAATAATTTTATGAAGTCTTAAAAACATTTTGTTTCTCACAAAACAAGTCATACAGGAAATCACGCTCCC